CTCGCCATCACTAATAGTATCTATTCAACACGTATGAATTAAACTTATTCCCATTGAAAAAGATAACCCAAAACTCAGCAGAGCATTAAACGATCAACATGATGATAGTGCCTTACTAGTGTGCAGAAACACCCGCTGTTACCAGTCTGTTCTCATGTTTCTCCGAGCTAAGCGAGGGCAGAGTCAACCCTGCGTTGCGCAGTTCGCAACGGCACGTTGAGAGATCCTCAACGCACGCTGTATGGGCGGAGACGCAGACGGCTCGAGCATGCGAGTGTGAATGTTCGCGCGAGAGAACGTGTCTAATCGGGCGAAACTGCGCAACGTGGCCGTTGAGAACTGCGCAACGCAGGGTTGACTCTGAGCGAGTGTCGCCCCATCATCATGCACCTCCTCATACTATTTGGAATTAAGCTGGCAGTTCTCCACATGGTAACCCTCAATGCAAACGAAGGCCCATGCCGGATCTCATCGACTGACGCGGTAGAACTAGAAACGAGGGGTCGTTCGTGCTCGGACGATGCTCTGCTAGAATAGTGGATTCTGCCTTGTCCCTTAAAAAGGTTAGACTTCTCATGAAATCGTTAATATGCCCAGGAGATTGACCTTGTTAGTTACTTTAGGCATGACCTTCGCACAAATTGTTCTTATGAGGAACTTCAAATCGTCCAGATATACTTAGAAGTAATGTTTCACTGAGCTTGTTAACAGAATCGCAAATGAGCTGGAGAAGAGAATAAGCTTTTTGTTAAAATCATCTTATTCTTATTCACAATACTTATCCTCCTTAAAATGTTTTTGGCTTACAATGTTCTTTAAGAAAGGAGAACTGTGGTTTCATTGCACTTTAAAGGACGAATTCACGATGAAAAAGCAACCCATTTCAAATTAACCTAGGGATGGTGAGTGGTACACGAAAGAAGGAAGAACCATGAGAAACGGCCCAGAACCCGAGAAATGGGACCCCTTCCTTGCCCGTTGATTTGAGCATTGATGCGACTCTCATCGCTGTGCCCTCTTCAACACTACGCTCTCTCAGCTATCTAATCACTCGCCACGTATTGAACTACGGCGAGTGATCAGATGATCGGTGGGCGGAGATCGCCGGACCCGCCAGCTTTGAGGCATGATAGGTCGCCGAGGTCAAATTTTTCCATGCGAATTGCGCGTCAGTTCGCACCCTCAGGAGGTCCGTGGGTCCCTCAACTAGGTCAGTTTCCCTTTCTTCGACCTTCATTCTAATCGTGAATTCCTCCTTTAAATCCATAAGTGTCGGTAGGACAAGCTGTTTTTAAGGACGCCTTTATTACTTTTGAAGCGCACCGCCCTTCTATAGATTCATTATTTCCGTTCAATGAGCCCATTTCATGCGAAACCAACGAGAATTTCAGACAATTGGGCAGCCGAGCGTATTCTATCCTAAATCTGCTGTATCCGAGAGAAGTCTCGTCGAACCGTCATCTATACAGCTACAGTACCGTGCGTCTTCCTTGTTCAGGGTGGGGCACAAATATGGTGACAATGTAATTGTGACCAGTTCGAACCAGAAAAGCACGGATACCCAGTGCAGTAGAGTTAGACCATATATCCTTTCAAACTATTGTCAAAATTTCTTATTCAAAATTGTTGCGTACAAACTTGGCAATTTTCTTGAAACCTACCCTTCAAAATTGATCCTTTCCCGCCTGAAATTCTTCCAAACTCTATCTCATGCTTTTGAATAGCACCTGTTAGCGACACATTTTGGAACAACACCTGTAATAAGTAACCCGCTAAATTTAAATCGGAAGTTCTGATTGGTCAATCTTTGTGCAGCCCAAAGCCGAACAGATGGGCTCTGCAGCAGGCTTACAAAATTCAATCCATGAGGCGGCATACCGCCTTTCTAGCGAATAAAGTCGTAATGAGTAGTGGAAATGACGAAAGCTATCTCCAAAATGCTATCTTGGATAATAAGATGTCACTCCCATATGGGCACAACCCGTCGAAATGAAGAAATCGCGTGTTACTCAGGTTCACTTCATTGCTGAGCTAGGAGGTTATATTTGTGTTCCGCTATTACTGCTCGGCTAGTTTTTTTTTGAGGCATCCAGTGATCAGTTCTTTATTTTCTCCATTGAAGGTGTAAACGTCCATGAGAAATATCAAAAGTTTTCCCGTCGGCGTACATACGAACCCCTTCGCGCCCCCGCCCCATGTCCTGGGTGCGTGACGATTCAATCGTGGCGATGGCTAGGTCGCCGCACCAGCCGCCGCAGCCCGCGATGCGACGTCGGCCGTGGCTAGAATTCAGGGTTCTAGCATTGGGGAATGTAGGATTAGATGAAGTTCCCAGTCGTGAAACACGGTATATGATCACCCCCCCCCCTTGTAATACATACAGGATCCTTGTCCTTTGCCATTATTTACAAACTTGATCTGTCTCACTGATTATTGACTTCTTTACCGTTCTACTGCGTCTTGGAACGTAATACCTTTCCGATGTAACCAGATTACAGCTCTCTGAAAACAATTCAGGCAGTTGACTACTAAAGAAGTCTCATTATGTTCAAAAGGACGACCTTTACATGGCACAAGCTCTGTACAATGAGGCTACATGATTGTGGAGATCTTTAAGGTGACACTTGTTGGCTCACTGATCCTGGAACTTTGGTCTTATCAGTCCCCTACCAGCAACTTATGAGCAAGGACCGTTAAGCCAAGGCCCACACAAAAATCGCCGCACCATTTGCCGCGCGCGACGCTGCCCGCCGCGTGAGCGGCGTGACCTCATTCAGCCGACGATTGAATTGACCGTCTCCCCCATGTCCTCGACGTTTTTGACTCTACTCTTCCTCTCTCTTTTGGAGGGACCTTGTCGTTTATGGCATTTATAAGCATGCATTCCAAGATTTCGACGCGAAACTCTTTGCACCGTCTATCCTGGTACCTCCGCATCCGTAACAATTTTATTATGGCCTCATCAAATCATGCGGGATACGCTTTGGTATTTAATGACCAGATTAGTCCCCCGTCAACCGCCGGGACCTTCCTTTCCTGCGCAAGCTTTCTATCCTCCGCTATGGTCCCTTCCTCCTGTGACACCAACACCTGGAAGGCAGGGTCAACCCTATCGTTGTTACTTTTCGAAAAATTTTTACGACCCCCCTCCCCCAAGGTGGATTTGGTACGACCCCCCTTCCGACACCTCGACCACCATATTCCTCTCTATAACACTAACTTCCACTACCACTCAACCCTCAAAACTCCGCCCACTTTTTCCTCCAAAAATGCCGTCGACTATTAACACTAACATTCACTACCACTCAACCCTCAAAGACTCCGCCCACTTTTTCCTCCAAAAATGCCGTCGAGCGGGGAGGGGGAGGGGGGGGGTGAGGGGGGGAGGGGTATATAGTCCCTCTGAAACAGTAAAAATTTTCCCACAATTCCCCTAAATTTTCCACCAATTTGCCCAATTTCTCCCTATAATCTCACTGTTTCCTTTTCTAGGGGGGGTATATACGCCGGCTGAAACGGCAAATTTTTATCTTGCGCGCCCTCTACTCGCACAACCTACTACCCACGAAATCTTAGTTTCTCCTCAATCCCACACGTGATTTCGAGCGACTAAAGTGGGTACGACCCCCCCTCCTACAAACTCAACCAGGTACGACCCCCCCCCGTTGTTACTCGTAACAACGTAGGGTTGACCCTGCTTTACGCATTTAGTTCGAGCACATCTTGAGCTGGCCTCAAAGCGTACGCCTGGCTTACATCGTCACCGGCGGTGGAACACTGCCTTAAACATGCCTTCTAGGCGCAACATCTGCATTTGTCTTTAGCGAAGAACTTCCAGATCAATGTCGCTCCGTTTGCTGTACATGAGCAAGGATAGCGCCAGAAATAGACCATCGCTCACATTCCATAAGGGTTCAATCTTTTTTCTCTTTCCCTGGAAATGCTTAGTATGTGAGATTTATTTATTTATTTATTTATTTATTCTGTGCACGCTTAGGTGCGCTTCTACAATTCCATTGATTAATTAATGCAAAAAGTTGCAATCAAATGAGTGTAAAACGGTCTAAAACAAAAGGTAGGAAGATCTCCAGTGAGGTATAACAGAAAAAAATCTGAGTCAAAGTTGATGCGCAAATTGAAAGAGTAGAGATTAAAAAGCAGATTAAAAACCTAAAAATTACTACAACCAGCACGAGTGTATATTAAGATTGCACCCTTGAAGCGCAAATCCCTTCGCGATTCAGCCGATCCATTCGAAGGAATACCCGTGGACAAACTGAGAGGGTCCCCTACTAGAATCACTCCTCCGCGACTACCCGAGCATTTGAAAGGATACCTGGGAAGCCGTAAGGTCTACCTAGATCACTTCAGCTTCGCCGCAATAGTTGTGCGGTTAGGGCGCTAATCCTTTACGGGCATGCAACCATCGACCCCGTTGCAACGCTTCCCACCCACCTCGATATCGGTGTGCTGCTATCTGCCGAACGGCGTGATCTCTCGCGCTTTGTCGTCTTTGACCGCCCTGCCTCGCCATCGTTCAAACTCCGACTTTTTTGAGGGCTAAGGCCTTGGCGATCCCAAAGAGTTCTCCAGCTTTGCTTTCACTTTCAGGCCGTCCCGCGCTCAGCAATCATTAGGAAACGCTCTTAACACCAGTTTTATCCCGGGGCTTGCCTTTAATTCCAAGATAATAGTGACCTAACCGTTGCACTCTCTGCTGGAGCGAATCCTCGGACCAGACGCTCTAATCTGACAAATCGGTCCCTTAGTGTAAGGGAAAGGCGCTTTCTCCGCTGATGAAACTCGACAGATTCTGACTTCTCTTCCATGTCTGCGATCCAATAGTGGCTGATACTGTTCCTACCAGTTCTTTACCAGTTTTCTCGAACCGCACGCAGGAGGCAAAGCTGTACTAGGCAGTAATGGCGTTCGTGATTTATATGGGAGGGTTCACTCTGTGGGTGTCGAGCGCGCACTTGACGCTTTGCGGATTATTTACTTAACTCGGTACGGATTATACCGGTCTTGAAATTAGCTAATAGTGCCGCTGAGATACTGGCACCCGCATTCCCTTCTGCATCTGACGGGTTTTTCTCGCCGTGATTTGCCTGATCCTTAATTTTGCACAATATTGATAGAGTGCAGATTTTGTTGAAGCGTGTCATGGACTGCCATGTTGCTTGCATCGACGGTAGATGTTGATGTTGCGTGTTTTGATCTCGCCAAGCGATTGATGAACAGTGCCGCATCTGAGTCCGGCGGCCCGCTTGCTCTTAGCCTCGCGTTACCTCGTCTAGCAAGACAAGCTTGCCAGAACGGCCCTTGTGTGTCTTGCGCGCTCTCCCTCGCGCCCCTTAGCTGGCTTCCTCGCAATACCCCCCCCCTCATCTCGCGTCGCGACACGCTCTCCTGGTCAGCCTGTAGTCGGCAAGTAGCGCCCTTCACACGCTCGCGGTCCTTGAGTAAATCCGTGGGCGCGTGTACGATTGCCGGCGCCAACAAGTGGCCTTCGCATCCCCCGGCCGTCAGTGCATTTAATGGGCGACCAGATTGCTCTCGTCAGCGCTCACACACACAGTGACTATGTGTACATACGGCTTGCCCCTCTCGCCCAGTCATTGTATAGGCCCGCATCCGCATTTAGCGAGAACGCCATGCGAATGGTACAAATGGAAGGTCAGAATGCCGTGCGAAATCCAAGAAGCAGCTCGATTCCGCGATCAACGGCCATAATACTCTTATTTTTTATATTCCGCTCCCCCTCCCCCTCTATTTGCGGTAATTTTATGCATACAAAGATTGGGGCCGTGGGAATAAGGGACATAAGCCTAGATACAAACAGGGCCGAAGCTGAAGGCCCAACGGAGCCTAGAGAGCGACAGTGTACTCGGCGAAGCAAAAGGCTCCCTACCGACCTCTAACGGGGGGCGGTTAGCGCCAGCGGGCTGAGGCAGCCAACGGCACCTTGTGACGTCTCTCAAGAATTCACGCATGGCATGGTGGCTAGCATCTCCCTTGCAGCGTGCGGTAAGCACGCCCACAAAAGCGTGATGGAAGGCATGTTGTTCGTGTGTCCACAATCGCGATCTTGCCCTTTAAGGAATGGTAATTCTCAGCTGCGCTTGGCGGTAGTTACACAGCTCTCTCACCTCACACTCTCGTGCGGACTCATTGTATGGCACAAATGAAGCAGAAAGAAATAGACAATTGGCTCGAATGCCGGTCTCCGTTGCACTGCGCGTCCGACCGGGGGCAGTCTGTAAATAAATGAAGCAAGATATGGGAACACAGATGTGTGTGTGAATAAGCAAACACAATGGTGCTTCAACACTATAGACTGCCGCGTTACCCTTGCTTTTTCTGTGCTGCTTATTCAGAGGCCTGATCAACTAGAAACTTTAGGGCTTGGTCGAATTGAATGAAAGCAAGTGGATGTGGCGTCTTTTAGAGGTTCTTTCTAAGTTTTCGAGACACTCCGCTCAAAGTGCCTGCGGTGATCGCACGAGCGTCCGCGTCTACTAAAGCTGAGCAACCTTCCACATCCCTTACCACACCATCTATCTGTGATGAACCAGATGGTTGTTCTTGTAGAGTTATTGACCTGCGGCAATCAATGAGAAAACGACACTACTTCCTTTCTCGCGATCTGTCCTGAAAACGCCACCCCTGTCCCGGCCCCATTGTTCATCCCATGCGTACGTACTCTCACCACGCCGTGCCCCTTGCTCTTTTAGACCGGCCGGACCCAACGTCGCGCCGCCCGTACACTTCTGACCAAGACTGCGTCCTCTCAGCCGCTTCCTCCCCAAACGCCAGATTGTACATGCACCGCAATTAATTATTTATAACAAAAATGCCAGTGCATTGAGCCTCCCACCGCCCCTCCTACCGCTTCATGATACAACAGTCCTAAAAAACCGACTGCCCACCGAAGGACCAAACAATCCTATAGCCGGTTCTTGAGCCGCCTGCATGCTACTTTTCGTTCCAGAATCTGTCGTCGACCCTGGTTTTGAATTCGAATCGAGTGCTAAATTCATGTGATAGAGAGGATGCTGATAATAAACATAAACGTGATCTATCGCAAGATGCGGGGACATTGTGGTTACAATGCATTTGCGAACCGGTGTAAGCACTTCTTTATTTGGGACCCAAAAAACGAGACTGAGCCTCAGGCAGGCCGAGGAGGACTTAGGCGTGCATGAGACGCATATCCTTCAATTCCGCCCGAGTTCTTGCTCCCAATCCTAGGACCTTAGGCAACAACGCGGTTCGGAGGTTACTCCGTATCCCGCGGGATAGCGACAACAGCAGAAATGTGATCATGCGACCAGGAGAACACATCACTCTTGCGCCTCACCACATTGCGGACATCTGCCTTTTTCTTCTTGGATCAATGATTCTCGTCGTCCTACAGACCAGCAGACCCGAGCTGTGGATGTGGCCAATAACGTGAATAGCTCGCCACATTTACAGAACCTTACACACCAGTTCAATCTCAACCTGCCAGTTTCGACGCCGGCGAATGAAATGCTGGTTTCAGCTCCTCAGCACTTCCAAAAGTGGCAGTTTCAATGGGTCGCTATCTCTACATGGCGCGTGCGTACAATGGACGCGCTCCTGGAGTAGGAGGTATTTGAGAGTTGGGCAGTTGATGAGTAACTATGACATGAGACGACTTAGAACAGCAGAAAAAAAACTCAACAAAGAGAATAAGATAAGAAACAGCCAAAAAAAGAGGCAGTTTCAAAATGGCCAAGGGTATGGAACAATTCACGAGACCGAAAAGAAGACATGTGAGTGAGAGACAGGGAGTGAAGAGAGGACCCACCAGTCAAGCAGTTCCGCGTGGCAAAAGCTAGGCAAGACATAAGCAGGGAAGGAGAATTCATCCAAAAGAAGGGAGAGGGACAGGTGCCAGAGCCTAAATGAGCGCATTTATCAACGGCAAGTCGTGACACGACCCGCACCAGTCGGCTATGGTGCCCATCGCCACACCAGGGGTCATAGGGGCTTACCGGAACTTCGAGACACGGGTATACCGACCACCCACGTGGAACCGGCAAGCTAGGTAAGTGTCACGAACTAGCCATTGACATGCACCGGATTCAGAACTAGACACCTTCATGTATGATGATCATTCAGGGGTGTAGGGTGTTGCTTGGACCGGGTGTCGAAAAACGCAACATTATCGCTGCGATAGAGCCAATTCTGAAATAAAGCGGAACCTTTTGACTGGCAAGCCTGACACACTCAACAGGATATGCTGGACCAGTGATTAGTCGAACACCTGAGCAATCACAACATCTTTCTCTCGGCTGGTTTCGTAGAGCAGAAGATTGAGCTGCATATTACCCAAGGCAGAATCTCTAAGAAAGTTTTTGTCAAGATTACTGTTCAGATATAGTGGGGAGTGGGTGGCATGAGGCTCACAAAATTGACGGGTGAAAATCCGAGTTTTGCGAGCCTGATGCCAGGCACATGTCCCACCTCGTTGGCGAAGGATTTCCCACAAAAATAGCTCCACTTGAGAATACAAGTTACTTAATACTGTTGATATTTCCTCCTTTTCGAATTTCGGCGGAGGTAGGCTACAGTTACTTTTTAAACACATGTATGCTCCACGCTTATCGTTAGATATTGCTCATCAGGGAGGATCATAGGTTTTCCTAGGCCATTTGACACAATCTGAAGCCAGCCTAAGCAGTGTCGGCATTCAAATGAAGCCAGCGCACTGGCACATGTGAGATGGTGACTTAATGAACAGTGGGGTGGGCTCGCGACGTCGGTGGTTCAGATCTGCTCAAGTGTTCCTTTTTTGCATTTGTGACTGATCAGTTATCAGTAGCGTGCCATGTTCCTGTTTCTATTCTCAACCCTGGTTTGTTTTAAATGCGTGAGGATCCTTCACAATTGAGACTTTTCGCAACCTAGAGGTGGTTTGATCACGCCAGTGTCCACTCCGCGCACTCCCAAGCAATTTTCGTTATGAACGAATGTGTTATTCTGTACTCTGCACTGAGGGATACGAGATTTTGACCCCCAGCCCACTACCCCCAAGTAGACCTTCCGTAGACGTCGGGGACGTCAGTATTTGAAAATGATGCCATGTGAAGTCTCGGAACAATGCATGCGAGTGAGCCAGACGTTTGGCCATAAGCTTATTCGTTAATTCCCAGAAGGTGAAGAAGAGAATAAACAGGTTTTCACTAGCGTATCGACCACTTGAGATATTCCAGACAAAAACAATGTGTGAGAAGAACGAGCATCCTTGCGCTGTAGAACCCTGCAAAAACTTAATGGCTCATTTCGACGAGTTGAAGGTAGGTTTTTCACGCGAGAGTATCGCCTATTTATAGATTTCCGCAATACTAAGTTACTTCCCATCTCTGGAGACCTAATAAAGGTTGGAGACAGTGAAAGGGGTGAATTGGAGCTTATTTCATGACGTGAAAATTCCATTCAGAGCGACCCGTTCTATGTACTGACACTCAATATTTTTTGCCTATATGGATTTCTAGGATACGAAAGTGGTGCAAGTGTAGCTGAAGAACATCGTAGCGCAGTATTTCATCGTGCCATCGGTCATCCATTTTCGTGACGCATAAAGTCCTGCTATAACTGAACCATTTTGCTTGCCCAATCATGGGGATTTAGCGAATACGGTAATAGAAAGTTTGCTGTCGTTCTAAAGTACTGGTGTTTTGTGCCGCGATGCTTCGTTCCCCCTCCACTCCTCCTCCCCCAATTCTACCTTGAGCTAAAAAGATATGACGTCGCTCGAATACACTACAAGCTGCTATCTCAATAACCTGTCTTATCATAAGCAAATCAAGTAAACGGATAAATGCATCGGCAGCGGTTGTTGTGCAGTGTATTCGCACTAGAGATTTCATTCAGGACATACAGGGTGTTCCATAAATACTGCACCGCGGTTTTCGCCGTGTAATTTCTCTAGAAATCGATGTTAGTTCAATTAGTTATAAGAGTATTTGCTCAAACACTTACAGGGGTGGCCAAAAAAAAAGACACTTCACTTCACATTCAAAACGGAATTATTTACGCGTCGCGAAACCAAACCAAATGATCCCAACTGAATATTGAAGAGCACGTTATAATCTATCAACAAGCTACACAACAGCCTTCTACACCGACGACATCAGAAGATTTTCCCACGGAAGCATTGTGCACGGTACGAGCTCAACGAGGTCGTCGAGATACCATAGACGATTACGACGTCTCTCGCAGGTCAAAAGCGGTTTTGCACATTCACAGCTAATGTCTCTGGGAAGCTATTCAACAATTAATTCATTGAAGAAATTATGTAGCAGCTTCAGGTCGGAGCGATTACGGTAAGCCTCGTTGAGCTCGACGGTGACGGCAGATGACGTCATATTCTGAAGACGGCAGGGGCAGTGAAGGAGGGCTGTTTACGGGGAACACCTAAGGAATATTACGCCGTAAAACTTTCATTAACATCGGCTCCCTGTGCGACGAAAAGTTCGATGATGTGCGCCATGGGCTAAGTGTCTCTTTTTTTGGCCATCACTGTATATAATACAAGCAATGGCATTCATGGACATGGCTCTCTGTCGCTCTTAATACTACTCTGGGACGGCTGAAGTTTGCATGTGCTGCGGCCCGCACGGTCTCATGAAATATACATTTTCGAACCTTCAAAGAGGGCGTATCCGTTTCTTTGCAAGAGTGCAGTTTTTAGTGTAGGTTCTCTCCACTAATATACCCTAATAGGATCGACCAGCATACTGAGATCAAGGGACTGACGAGCTCTTTGTTTGATTGTGCAAACTTGAGAGGAATGGCACAACAGCGGTTACTGAACATTTTTTGTCCTCAGTGCAGAAAAGCTGCCTTGTTGAGAAATCCACCATTCCTCAGTAAACTGGAAAGTGATCTTAGTAACAGATAGAAATTTGTTCCAGAGCAGCATCCGTTACTAAAAGTTACCTATTTAGATGTCGCACTCGAGTTTTATGTCTTTATTAACAGACAACGTTGGATGGCAACCGTGTATCGAGACCCGTGTCCAGACTTGGTTGCTGCTTGGAGAGAGCAACCACTTCTGTTTCGCCGGCTTCTACAGAAGCTCAAGTGAATGGCCCTCGGGTAATCGTCTTCTGCTGGTCTTTTCAGGAGAGCTTCACACTTGCTTTTCTGTTGAGCTCTGCGCTTCAGTGACGTTATTTCCTAAGCATTTTCCAGGGGTGCATGTGTAGTTTTTAAAGGACAACTTTGCACACGGTCACGCTAAAAACTCTCATGACTCTCAAGCCATCTTTCACTTGCTTCTAGAGGATTGTGGTCGACTCGTTTTTTCACTGTTTTCCTAGAATCTGGAGAAGCTGAAGTTAGGGGACGGAGCAGCAAGCACGACCATTCACTGCTGTCCTCTTCCATGCAATGCAGATTGTGACTGATGCAAGTTCAAAGACGAAAATGTTTGTGTGCGAATGTACTGCCTCGCTTAGTGAGAGAATAGCAATTGGGTTCGTACACACCATGAGTTGAAAAGCTAAAGAGGTGCCGTCAAATTTGATAAACTTCTTCAGTGCAACATGAAGAAGCACACTTTTATGTAAATCGACAAAAAAAAACAGTAATCGCAGTCAAAAACGACGGGCGAAATTTGTGCTGTCACAATAATTATGGAACACCCTGTACTTTTTCGGAATTGAAATTATTAGTGTGTTTTTAGACCATGGAACCCAAGGAGGCGTGCAAGCTGGTCGGACGAATGCTAGATTCATTGAAGTGTGACTGCCTCGACTGTTCATTTAATTTTGTAGGCTAGTCACGAATAAAGTTTGTTTGGAGTCGACGTTGACATCATATCCACAATCATTTCACATCTGAGCACTAACGATAAGCACCATCCTTGTGACAAATAATATACTTACTGTAATACATTGATAGACCTTCAGCGATGTTCTCAAGGAACCACAGCTCTTCCATGCTTCCCGGTTTCTGGCAACTTGCATCCAGTGTAGACCACGTTGTCTGAAATACTTTGAAAACGAGTCGGCCCACCGGGTTTGCGGTCGTCCTAGCGGTCTTGAATTGTTTCTTGGGAGCCATTCTGTGACTCGGAGCTCTATCTGTCATCGTCTTCTCCAGCCCAACGATGTTTCGATTGTGCCATTTACTGTAGGGGATCTTGCAGGTGAAGTTCCTTAATTCTGAACTTCGTAGGCATTGCTGATGTCGACTAACTTTCAGGAAACTTCTTTCTAGCCCACGATGTATTGTTTGCATGGCTTTGGCTATCGTCTTGTTCTCAGGCCATGTTTCAGTGGCATAACACATTGCTGGCAACACTGAAGCATTAAATTTAAGGGATCTAGGAATAGGGTCTGTTATTTCTGCAATCGTTCCAAAGGCTGCCCATGCAGTATGCCTCTGGTTTATTTTTGGAGCAATATTGTTCGTCATGTTCAGCTCTCTTCCCAGGTACACGTAGGAGTTTACTCTCTCTAGAGCTTTTCCCGCTAGTTTTATTGTACCTGTATCACACCACTGGTTCACCATCTTTTTTCGACATGCTCATTTCCAAGCCGATCTTCGAGCCTTCCACATTGAGTTCGTTGACATTTCTTCCATTTCGATTGTGTTGTGAGATATCAATACGGTATCACACACGAGGCGGGGGGTATTCATACTTTTCTTATTGATGAGGTATCCTTTGTCTTCCCAATTAAGGTTTGACATCGGATTCTGTAATGCAGCCGTGAATATCTTTAGTGATATCGTATCTTCTCGCCTGTACTCCTTTCCTGGATAGGGATTTTTATCTTCCGCTCAAACAACTGAATAGTTTCGAAAAGCATTGTTCGAGCAGTTGGGCAGGGGGAGCTCCGGCTTGAATGAGGGCATTTGGAACAGCGTTGACCTTCACAGAATCGAATGCCTTTTTATAGTCAGCGAAGACAAGGACTAATGGAGGGTGATATTCATGGCTTCTCCCAATAGACCGCGTGTACGTTATCCATGCATGAAAACTGTCTGCTCTACTGGCTGGTATTCGTCCAAAATGCGTTCCATGTGGTTGAGCAGCATTTTCGTGAATATACCACCGAAGGAAAGCTGATGGGTCTGTAGCTGGCGATATCTTCTCACTGACCTTTCCTAAACAGTAGAACAGTTCTCGATCCTTTCTAAGTTCCGAAATCTTTCGGAACAGTGGAAAGGATCGAGAACTTATATTACTTATTAGCCTGAGGTAGTGGTTGAAGTGTCTACCGAGGAGAGAATAGGGAGCTGTATTTCCAGCACGAAGCAAATCCGCAGAGATGTTATCAGGCCCTGGGGCAGTTCCTTTTCTCATGCTTCGTATCGCGTTCCGCAATTTCTGACTCCAGAATAATAGGAGGGTCTTCAGCAGGCAGTATCAGCTTCGCAGGACACTTGGGTTTGAACGAAAGAGGGCCGCATAGAAATTGTTAACAATATTCTCCATGCCTATTCTTGAAGTGGTGTAGTGACAAGTGGCGCGCTTACCACGCGAGCGGTCCGGGGATCAAATCCTGGGTCGTGAGTCGCCCGGGCCAACCAAGCCTTCCATCCCTCCGGGGTCGGTTAATTGGTACCAGACTTGTCTGGGAGGATAAAAACACTGACTTGTACATCGGCTGGCCCCCGCAAGTCATTGTATAGGCCACATCGCATTCAAACGCCACTACGAATGTACAAATGGAAGTAGAATGCGTGCCGCATCCCAAAAAGGGATTGATCAACGGCAAATGCTTTATCCTTATCCTTATTCTTGACGTGTGTATTCTCTTTTCTTTGTCCATGAGTGCCGCCATGACAACCTAGTCGTTTAGATATCGTTGGAACGTTTAATGATAGATTTTTTTCTGTGGCTTCCAATAACTACGATTAGTTCTCCTGTAGGCTCGAAGCGACTCTTTGACAGCTCTGCGGCACGCTCTGTGGCGACGACTTTTTCCACGTGTGTGGCGGTTGGATCTTGTTTCACAGCATTCCGTTTTTCTAGATTTACTACTCAATCTTTTAATGGAATTCTGCTGTTGAGTGGTGAGAGATGTCTGCACATCGGAGTAAGCCTTTAGCAAGGACAATCGTAGTCCTCCGTTGGGTTGTCTAAAAGACTTCAGTCGTGGGCTTCAATAGCAGATTCAAACATCTCGCTATTTCATTGTGCTGTCACGCAGCCTCTTCTCGATCTGAATGTTTACACACTGAGACACTAAAATTTATTACATAAATAAACACAAAAGTATTATAAAAAGGAGGTTCCAAATGTTTGTTTTTTTTGTATACATAGGCGATTTCTCGGTGCGTGAGTGTACAGCATTTGAGCACAAATGCCTGCATTGTCTTAGTGAGCGATTTCTCTGTTAAAACAGCAGACACCAAACTCACGTTCAAAACTGAGCAAGCCATTGATCTGCAAGATTAGTTGGAGGAGCTGGTAGGGAGACTATAACGGGTGGTTGCTCTTTTGAATATGATTTGCCCTCCTAGTGAAGCGAAGTGGCTTGGCGTCGCTGTTCCCGCTATTTGTGCGGCCATACAGAAAATTCAGATGGAAATCTTTTTCGATTGTAATATTTTTCCACCAAATCAAGTCAGTTTAAATTTTGATAATTTTGAAGGCAAACTTTCATCACTAAACTATTTGAAATTGTCGAGTATGGCTAAATTTTAAAAAAATTTCATATTATTGTGAAAGGCTTGCAATTCAACAAAACAGTCGATTGCATGATGAAAACTTAAAGCAACAGTCCAGGCAGGGTTTCAACTACTTGGTCATTAGGCGGTCAAAACATGCCCCAGCCCAACTAAAGTTTATAGGAAATGTCTTTAAGTTCAAAACCTACCTCTAAAATGCGCTGGAAGGGGTCGAAGTCCTCTTGGAGGGGGCGGATCACCCATAAAGAGGCGGATCGCCCAACATACGCTGTGCAGAGCGCTTGCTCGACTAGCGGTCGTTGCGGGACCGCCGCGCTGTATGAGGTCGATTCCATAAGAACGCAATTGAAGCGCTTCAATTTCGATTGCTGGCAAATAGTTATGTATTTGCAAGCATGCATGGCTATTTGCCAGCAGTCAATTGGAGCGCATGTACTACGGGCAGGTTCGGACAACTCGTCCAACACACGTCTCCCTAAACGGCAGGGGGAGTCCCTGTCTAAGCCCCTGCCCGACGTTTTTTTCTACTTTTTCTTTCTCCATTGACCAACTTCTCACCTGCAACGTCATTATAGGTGGTCCTTACCCGCGAATTCGTTCCTGGATTGTTGCTTTAAGCAGGCCCAATATTTTGTAAATGATCTTTAGGAGTCGTTAAACTTTCAAGAAGGCCTAAGTATGGAGTCAGCTAATGAATTCAATACCTGTCGAGACAATTAATTAATTTTTCTTCCAAATATGACATGGCAATTTGACATGTGCCTGAATTCTTTTCTCCCTCTAAAGCAGTTCATCGCCATCGAGTCCACTTGTTCACAATAGAGATCGGGAACGATCGTACGTTGGGAACCCTGAACAAGTCGACAGGGGAAGGGAAGTGTTTGGCTCGCTGGAAGGAAAGTTCGGGTAATAGGGTACACACTGAGCAGCATGTGGTAGCTTCTTTGAAAAGTTTGGGGGGAGGAGCTGTAAGTGGGCGGGCCGAATTCAGTAGGATCATCACCGTCGGAGGACACACCAAAGGCAAACATGAAGGAGCCAAGCCCCGTCTTCTGGGATATACTTGACAATCCTATTTTTCTAATTACGTATTTCGGATTTCACGAAAACCTGTAATACGCCTATACGATTTCTACACCTGATTTTATATGTAATATGTGGATTTGAGGTAATTTCATTGCTTATTGACTGCTCTGGGGCGGAAGTGGTGTAGTGGCAAGTGGCGCGCTTACCACGCGAGCGGTCCGGGATCAAATCCTGGGTCGTGAGTCGCCCGGGCCAACCAAGCCTTCCATCCCTCCGGGGTCGGTTAATTGGTACCAGACTTGTCTGGGAGGATAAAAACACTGACTTGTACATCGGCTGGCCCCCGCAAGTCATTGTATAGGCCACATCGCATTCAGCACTTCCCAACGCACGTAAGAATGTACAAATGGAAGTTACAGTACTCGCCGTTTGAAATCGAAAATTCACGCGAATAACGCGAATCCTCGTTAATTTCGTGAATTCGTTATAAGTCGGCTCAGAGTGAAGTATTCCAGAAACGGAAAACACCGTTGAACTCAGCTCTTCAAGCGCTACAAGATGGTGCTGTTATTTTTTCAGAAAGCTTGATTTCGGAATGCGCCATGCACACGGGTTCTATCTCAAAAAGTAGTTGCTCGCATGTGATGTGTATATAATCCCGCTTATGCGGGCTAACCGCTACACACAAAGAAGGGCCTCAAAACTTACGTACCCCAGAATGCGCCACAGCGTGACCTCAACTCTCATCCACTACATTGTAAGATTAGATGAATGTTATTTTCCGAATTCTGAGATCTTCATTTCGTTTTCAAGCGCTTACTAGCTTTACGTGTTCCCTCTGCTCTCAATATCCCATCCTCTGTATATCAAGTGGAATCTTTGAACAGTTCTCAGCAGGCATAGTGGGCCTATTATGTGACATTTTCCATTTTCAGAGGACATGTTTTGCAGAAAGCTGTGAAGATAGCGAACAATTTCCTTCACTGTCGTAGACTACGGTCACTTGTCTGTAAGGATTATATGGAAAACTTGGCCGCAGGTGAGCGCCTCTTCCGTGGTGTGACCCCAAAACATCACCCCTTGTGTCCATCCTTTGTGGAATGTTTACATTTTTTGCATTTCCAGATGAACTCGCAGACCTGAAATGTGCCCCTTTAGCTTTCCCGTGAAAAATGTTATTGAATGATATGCATTACTTCCCCCAGTTGAAACTTTGATTTTTCACCGTTTTCAGCCTTCCCCTGATTGCCTGGCGTTTGGGCCACTACTACCCACGATTACTGCCCCAAAATCTCAAAGTTTCATTTTTCGTCGAAACTTTGTCTATTGGGGTAATTCGATGCCCTGATTACGAATATGACATTCATTTTTGATGCTGGTGTCATTTGGCGCCATTTGGCGCCGTTTGGCGCCAATTTGGCGCCACGGCTGTTTTCACCAAATCTGCTGAAACTTCGTCATTTGGGGTTATTTGGGGTCCTGATTACGAAAACGACACCCGTTTTTTAGTGCTGGCGCCATTTAGCGCCGTTTGCCGCCTGTTTGGCGCCACGGCTGTTTCCACCAAATCCGCTGAAAACGTGTGTATTATGATGGGGTTATGCTATTGCGTCTGATACGCAAATAGTCAACATTGCCATGGGTTGAGCGGGGGGGACGGGGCAAAGGCAGGCCATCTTTGGGTGTCAACCAAACTCAAGCACTTCACGAGGCAGACCTCTAACTTAGCGCACCCTTGTCTCGCAGCGCCGGCTGTTCAGACCCGTGGAAAAGGTCCTGCGAATTGCGGAGACTTTCCCACGAGCAGGAAGGAAGTCGGAGCGCAGACGTACACAACACTTGTGAGCTACAAGACCCGCAAGCATATTTGCAGCCGGTTTTCAGCGATAGAGGGAAGATGCCTGTATGCGGTTGGGCAGAGGCAGGCAATTTAGACTGTAAGGGCTCTCAGCTGCTGCCGACTGGGTATGGTGTATAACTCTGTCTGCGATGTACTACTTCATGATGAGCCGCAGTAGAGTTGAAACGTCCTTCCTTCGGACAATCCGAAGGAGTCCACTTCCTCTTTCAATGCCTCCAAACAGCCACTTGTGCCTGCGTACCCAACGTCGGCGGT